TGATTTTGATAAATGCATTTTATCTGTAGGTTGATAGATGCTTGGTGAGTTGCACAGTGGATGCCATTGATATGGATTGGTCATGGTATTATTTTGGTTGTAAAGCTTGCAACAAAAGAGTCATCAAAACTGGAACCAAAGTTAAGCTCTTGAATGGTAAAGAGATCATTACTCATATTTGGTGGTGCGAGACATGCAAAGACAATGTCTTTGAAGTTTCACCAAGGTTTGATTTTAAATTAATTTGATACTAGCTATGTTTCACAAACTTACTTCAGGTACATATTATATCGAGTATATATATAATATATGTAATACATATTTATGCTCCTTTGTACAGATTCTGGCTGCACTTGATTGTTAGTGATGATACAGGCGTCTCGAAAATAATGATATTAGATAAGGTTGCTAATGGGATTGTTTCTGAAAGTCCAGAAACACTGTTGAATGGAAGCTGGGATGAGGTATTTTTATTGATACATATTAATTTACGTTTTTCAGTTGTTAAATATTCTATGAAATTAACATACTATATTTATATACTATGCAGCTTGACGATCCAACCTTAGTACCAGATTGTATTTCTGATTTGGTTGGCAAAAACTTCACATTTGGAGTCTATGTTGAGAAAGAAAATGTTGCATATGGTGCTGAAATATATAAGATGGGGAAAATCTATAAAGACAGAATGACATGTGTTCCTGAGAAAATCCTAGAAATTCAATCCGAAAAGCATTTGATAATTACCAGTGGTGATGAGGTACCATTGTCTAATTTCTGATCAATATTATTGTGTGAAACTTAACTGATATTATTATGTTAGCATGGATAACTTACTGAACTGTATACAAGATTCTATCAACATAAGTGAAAGTCAAGAAACTGTTGATGATTTTTCTACACCATCCAGTAAGAGAAAAGATGAGGAAATTATTGACCAGGATGACCTCGGTTCAGCATCCAAGAAACCATGCATGATGTCGATCAAGATTGAGAAGGTTGAAGAGGCTAATAAAAAACGTTGAAGACTCATTTATAGGAGTTGGTTTCATGTGTTTTTTTTTCCATTATGCATTATTTAGCACTACTTATGTTTGGATTTTGCTTTCAATAATTATATTAAGACACGGTTTTTTCTACTTAAGTTGGTGTTTCTTTTTTATTTGTCCTACTGATGAGGTTTCGTTAAGTTTAAGAAATTGGGACAAATTAGAAACGAAAATATTTATTTCATTTTTAAAGACAACACATAGAATTACAATCTGAACATTAAGGCTTCTTATTTGAAGTACAAACCAGTGGAGAAATACATACTCATCAAAGTAGAATACAACAGAAATTAGAAGTTCAACACGGTTTTCATGGACTACTTATTCAACATTCTAGAGAAGAACACAAACATTAAACATACGGTACATAGGACTTTTTAATTATTTCTCCTCAGGAATTCAATAAAGAGATTAAGCCTTTTGTAGTAGTAACAGTACGCGCAAACTTCTCCAATCTCATGTCCATTGCAAATCCTCTGTGGTCTAAGGTTTACCATATTCTTATTGTACGAATTATTCATAGGAATATCGATATTTCTGAGTGAGTTTTGGATTCTTGCCCAGCAATGCTCTGTAGTTGAAATTCTTTCCCACCAATGTAGTTTATCTAAATATTTTTTTCCCTTTCGAGAATTACCAGTGGCAAGCATTAATATTCCGTAAAGATACATACAGTTTTTGTTGTTCAGAAGGGCGGATTTACGTAGATGATACAGCCCTGTGTTTTCTTCCTTGTGGTGGAAGAATCGAAGCACGCCCTCAATATAATGGGCTTCAGGATTGTCATGAGTCAAACATAACTCCTTCAGCCTATAATGCTCCCAAACCATACTTAGCGGTGCGGCGGCAAAATATCTGAGACTCATGTCTCTGAAATAGCTAGAGGGGTCAGGATTAGAGTAGTCGTCAACGTCGGAATCGTAGTTGAAGTGAGCATGGTCGTAATTGTTGATTGAGTGTTGGGATGCCATCATAAAATGGAATTAGTCTTTTGGGAGAAGATGTTCTATTTGAGTTAGGGGAAGTGAGTTATCTAAATATTGTAGAACTGCCTATGAAGCATGCAGCATTTATAGGCGGAAATAAATTTATTTGGAGCAATGCTTCATGAGTTGTCTTTTCTAATAAATTTTTTTGGTTAAAAGAGAAGCATGCAAGAGTGACTGAACCGCTTGGAACTTGATCCATGCCTGATCTGTGTCTAGACTTCTGTAGGCTTGGTTTTTGTGTTTTCTTTTTACTTTACCATGACTTCTCTTCCTTTCTCTTCCTTCTCGGTTGAACTTGACAATTATTATCCAGTTTTTGGAAGAATTTCTTTAAAAAGTATGTGTTATGAAAAAACGTTCGTTAACACCTCATAATATGTCTAAAAACATTATATTAATTGTTGTTTATAAGTTAGGGAAGGTAGTTTATTTTTGTTTATAAGTTATGGTAGTTAGTTTATATTAATTGTTAATAAATAAAACATTAATTGTGTTTCAAAGGAAAATCCTCGCAAAACAAGCAAAGTAAATCAGCTATAAGTTTTAAAAAATCAACTAAGGACAAATTCTTTGATTGGTGTTGTCTATAAGGACAAACTCTTTGATTGGTGTTGTCTATAAAGACAAACTCTTCTTATTTTTTTATGCTTACCAAAATATGATCCTGTTACAAAAGCAACGAGTAAATTTTGTGACATCAAGAACATGCTACAAAAGCAACGAGTAAATTTTGCAACTGAGATGACAATACTATATGAACCATGCAAAAATAGATTTTACATGTGTCATCCAACATCATGTCCTATCACATCATCAAGCTTCAGAAAAATTACTTAACTAGGGTAAAATATTGAAAGCATGTAAAGTGTAATAAATCTATTCTGTTCACCTATATTTATCAAGTTCACATGTAAAGTGTAATAAATCTTGTAATATGTATTAATATGTTTAATGTTTAATATTGTCTCCATAGAACAAAATATTAGTGAATTACTAATATGCCTTATTTATATGTGAACTTGATATGCCTTTCCTAAACACTCAATCGTATCTAATCTAGATTTCGAAAATCCTGTACTGGCGGTTTGATATATACTAATGATTTTTCATACAGGAGAATTATGGGAACACAATATTTATTACAAAAATCTTGATCTTATTTTTAATGGAAATAGAAAATTCCTCCTAATGTCATTATTGAAGATCTCGAGTTTGTCCATTTTAAAGAATTTGACATTTAATATATGGTAAGTTCATTAACTTCAAAGAAGAATATTTCCATTATATTACTTGACTTACTTTTTGGACCTAATGTACCGTCGTAGTATATAACATGACGTTAATAATTTTCTCCTATCATAAATACTATCACCTTATGAGCAAAAAAGTGTTTTCATCGTAAACTATGGCAAATTTTGATCAAATCTCTGATTTGAAACCTTTCAAAACTATGTGGAGAATCAAGGTGAAGATAATTCGGCTATGGAAACAATACTCTGGTCGAGGTGGGGAGAGCATTGAGATGGTTTTAGTCGATTCAAGTGTAAGCTATGTGATAACATTTGATTACCATTCATATTATAATATATAGGCATTTATTTTCCTCTTTTATATATACATGTTTGCATTTTTTTTTACCTTTTTCAGGGTGATAAGATACATGCTACTGTATCTAATGATTTGGTGTCACATTTCGATGGGAGGCTATACGAAGGTTGCTCAAAATTATTGATTAATTTTGTAGTTGCCCACGCTTGTGGATCATATCGAACAACCAAATATGCTTACAAGATAGGGTTTCTACCTTTGACCCGTCTTCGAGTTTGTGAAGATCTACCTCTACGAGTCACTGGATTACAGCCAGTGCATTATCATGGAATTTTGGATGGAAGTCTAAATACCGACTTTCTGATTGGTGAGTTATCCTTTTCTCTCACGAAAGTTATCAAATAAATTGGATTAGTTACTCACTTATATATCTTCCTATTATACATTATATATTGTTATTATGTAGATGTTATCGGTCAGGTTGTTAACGTTAGTCCTCTGGAAATTATCGCCGTCAATGGAAAAGACACAGAAAAGATTTCTTGTGACCTACGGAATGAAGAGTAAGTTATACATGACCAACAGTTTATATATTTTATTTTATTGGGTTTGTCAGGAAAATGGTAAACCAATAGTGTTTCGATTGTTATTTTTTTGTCGTGTAGAGATATTAGGCTTTCATGTGTTTTATTCGGACAAAAAGCATCCGATCTTCTCGATACAATTCAAATTCATAGTGAGCAATATGTTATTTGTGTATTGAGATTTGGGAAGATCAGAGTCTTCAAAGGTACTCAGATGTGTTATGTTTAAAACTATGATAAGTTCTACACATTAATATTTTTCTCACTTTGTTGTTATTGTTAATATGGATATACAGACGATCGAAGAATATCAAATGCATATAAGGTGTCCGCTCTAGCTATTAATCCCTCAATGCATGAAGTTGAAGTGTTTCAAGCATTGTACGTTTGAACTTAGAATGCTTTTAAGTTTTATTTGTTTTGTTTTTATGTCATTTTAATGTTGGTCACTGGTTTCTAATATTGAACAGGTTGCCAAAAGATGGTTTGCCTTTGGATATTGTCAGTGCCAAACCTATTTGCATAAATTCAATGATTTCGGAAAAGGAAGAATTTTTTATACATACTCCAAGGAAAACGATCTCGGAGGTTCTGGAGACCAGAAATGTTTGTTCTCTGAACCGAGGCAGATATATTGTTAATCTTATTTTTTTATTTAAGTAATAATTTCACAATTAATTTGTGTAGGTTGAGAGATGTATTGTTATGTGTACAATAGCTGCGATTGATGAGGACATGGGTTGGTACTATTTGAGTTGTAAAGTCTGTGCAACTAAAGTATTGACCGTGCCAAATGAATATGATGATGCAGTCATTGCTATTCTCGATGGTGGATACAAGTACTATTGTGCTAGATGCAAGATTGTCCATCCCAAGCTATTACCAAGGTAGCTTGTGCGTATAATAAGTTACATCTTTTATTTTATATAAATATAAGTATATGGGACGGTTGAATATTTAAATGATAAACCTATTTTTTACAATATAGGTACAATTTGCATTTGGTTGTACTTGATAATACAAGTAACACCAAATTACATTTGGCTGATCATACCGCATTCCAGTTACTCCACCAACCTTGCGTTGAGTTAACTGGGAAGGTCACAACTGAGGTATCATGTGTTACTTTAGTATGGATAATCTATGTTCAATCTGGCAGTGTAGCCTTTTTAATGCACTTTTTAATGCAGTTGTTTTTATCCTTACTATTTTTAGATTGAAGTTCCTGCTTCTTTACCTAAGGCTTTGACGAATTTGTTGGGTAAGACGTATTTGTTTAAGATCCTTATCGAGAAGGATAATTATCTATACAAGCACGAGACATACAAGGTCGTCAACATAATTACAAACGAAAGCATGGTTAATGAGTTTGATGTCAGCTATTATCCTACGGTATGTTAACTTTTTTTTTTTTACAACCGAAATGGCATTTGTTTTTTTTTCATAAAATGACTATTTAGTAACTCTAATGGTATTCAATTATTTCAGGGAAGTCAGCACAGCTCACCGTTTCTAAAACTTCATAGAGTAATCGAGGTAATTTTTTACTCTTTAATGGTACCTTAATTTGTAATTTTTTTTCTATGTTACTTATATGAACGTTTAAATTGTATCAGGGTTCCATGAAGAAAATTGGTAGTTCCTCCCAATCAATAAAATCTACTAAACTCACACCAACTAAACGGTCTGGAATCCCGATTAGAGATTTGTTGCAAGACTTTGACGAGAATAGTGATACAAAAGATGCGTACAGACCGAAGATTAAGAAGGAAGAGAATGAATTAAGTGGCTGAAGATAAAAGCATCTGATTCCAATGAAAGAGGCTTTCTTTTAAATTCAGTTATTTATAAGTATGTTTGCCTGTTTTGTTTTTATTTTATTATAATGTTTCAATTTTAGAATTTTTGAACCTACGCTGTTTTTATGCTTGCTTACTTAATATAAAGCCTCTTTCTAATTATGACTTTTAAAAATTCTACTCCCGCTACTTGATTCTAGGTCTAACATATTTCATTGATAACTTGTATTACAAGTAATTGGTAGTTCATCTTAACATTGATGTCTATGTCCTAACTAACCACAGTTAGTTCGATAATGAACTATTATGACGAGGAATTTTCTTCTATAATTAAACAATAACCATATTTATTGTAATTAACGATAACCATATTTAATAAAAAAATCATTGATCGCCATCCTTTCAGCTCTACCTGTAAATATTGTTTTAAAAAAAGAGAAAGAAATTTTTTTAAGAATCTGGTTTAAAGATATGTTGTTACCATAAGTAATATCTTTTAAACTTCTTTCACAAGTCTTTTGGGATACCAATATAACAAAAACAATTTATAGAATCTATAATATTCTCCTTTTCGCAATATATGGAATCCTGAACGCAATCAGTCCTTAAAACCTAGATTGTTTGACCCCTATATAACCTAACTTTCTCCACACATAATGGTAAATAAGATAATTGTATGGCTATGGTTACAAACAGCAAAATCAGTTTCGTGAGCAATCTCAAACCATTTAAAATTTCTTGGAAGATTGAAGTTAAAGTTATTCAGAAGTGGACACAACCCTCAAACCGTTCTGAAGGAGACACATTGGAGTTCATACTCGAAGATCAAATGGTATGTCTTTCTTTTTAACCTATTTGTGCACTATAATTAATTGGAAATCTACTACTATACCTGCACTTACAATTATTTATATGGTAGGGAACCAGCATACATTGTATCTGTAAGAGTCTCTTCGTTGATCGTGTTAAGGATTTTCATGTTGGTGAATGGAGGGTCGTCGAGAATTTCTCCCTGATCCCGGCTATGGGGTTATACAAAAGAACCAGCCATCCATTCAAGATTTCCATCATAGATAGTACTATCGTCACCGAGCCTTCTCTGACTACCTGCGAGGTACCACAATTTGTTATGCTTCTACTTTACTTATTAATGAGAAGGATTGTTTAGTACTTGACTAGAACTATCTAATGGTTGTCTAGATGATTAATCATAACAAAGACTATGAGAAAGGAGCTGGTTCCAGTTCTTCTTCATCTAAGCGCAAGGAAGGAGATACTGATCTTAATGACATGAATTCTCCAGCCAAGAAGTTATGTTCTAGATAAAGAAACTGGAGTACACAAAGGAAGTTTAGCTTTATTGTTGAGTCATGTTGTTTCGAGATTTACAGTTTATCTTTTCAAATTTGCTTTGTTATTTCAATTCTTTTTATTCAATCCTGCTTCTAACAAAGCTAAACTTGGTTATTGCTAAAACTTCCGTTGTGACCACTAAAACTCAATCTGATAATTGCCTAACCAAAAACCTAACATCTAACAGATCAGTAAAGTAACTATTTACGCCATTAATAATAACAATTTGATTATCAGCTCATAGCCAGATGGATGTAATTTCTGTCATATAAACATGATTCGAACCTATAAATATTTGTATAAACAACCACTTAATTTGATTATTGCCTAACCAGAAACGTAATTTCTGTCATATATACATGATTCGAACCTATAAATATTTGTATAAACAACCACTTAATTTGATTATTGCCTAACCAGAAACGTAACATCTAACAAAAGTTATTCAAAAGTTTCAATGAAGTTAATTTCTACAAGTGGGACTAAATAACAGAATCTGCAATTGCACTAAATCTTTTTAATATATTAAAAATTATTGTGATCAGAGATACTATAAGATTTTGTTATCATACCCGATCGGCATATTTTGAGTAACTAAATATTTTGTTATCAAAAATTCTAACCTATATTCTTATATAGGCTATCTAACTACTCACGTCAACACATTTTACCTCAAAAGATTCTAAAGAATTTCAATGACAAACACAAAAAAGACCTCCATCCGGAACCAAAGAATGATTACAAAGCACATAAGAGAAAAAGAGATAGAACAACAAACAGAAATGACACCGAGAATGCACTGCTATGTAGTGCCAATATGAGATACACTACAACTTCTGTGCCCCTTAGCAAAGCTTTTCCTAGGGTTCTTTCTGATATAACCAATGCACAACCTCAACTGAGATCGTCGCCATTCGGTATAGCAACCCACTATGTACTATCATGGATATATTTTATCTAATTTATAGAATAACTTCTTCCAGTTTATGTTTTATGTTTTCAGACAATGGTAATCAAAGGGATGATAATGCTTCAGCAAAAAGATTTAAAACCACGTCTGATAAGTTGTTTTGTAAGTGTGCAATCACTCATGTCCTTATATAAAAGAGAGTATGCAAACAATTGGATCTTGCAAACAATTTTGACCCGATGTTATTTTTATGAAATTAGCTCAAGCAAGCAATCAACCTACTATCATCAACAAAATTGGACGATCTGACAGCACTTCTGCGACTCTTAAGAGAAAGAGATCTAAAATAACAGATGTGTCTGACAGTACGCCTTCTGCTTTTGCCGGGAAGAAAACATGTTCCAAACAAGGCGTTTTATCTGATACTTCTAATCAATTTTCTACTGTCAGCACCTTTCCAAAGCTACCAACACCTTTTACCAGTGGTTCATGTGTTTCCAAAATATGTACCAATGGTATAAGCTAAAAATCCAACTTAAGCAGATTAAGTTATTTTTTTGACAGGAAAACTAACCTCTATTAGCTTTTTCAGATAAAGGGAAAGGAAAGTTAAAGAGTAATACTCGAACCAAGAGTTGTAGGAAAGCTTTGGAACCACAGTTTGATGGTTGTTTAGATGATTCATCAAGTGAGGATGAAGAGGATCAAACATACCAGTATGACTATGAAGGTCTAAAAGTTTTTTTATAGATTCTTCTGACTTACTTTATTGTGTGTTTTAAAATGCATAAGCTACAAACTGTACTTTGGTTTTGTTTATCTGCAGAAGAGTCTGAATTATACAAAGAACAAGTTTACGACTGCAGTAGCGAAGAATCAGACTCAAGTGATTATGAAACCATAACCTGCGACCCTAACACAGAGCCAAGTTCGTCTAAGAGTACGCAGATTACAAAACGTAGTACTTCAAAAAAACAATATGGTAATAATTTCATAAAGTTTTTATATATTTTTAGTAGAGATGTTTTGAATAGTTTAACAATTTATTTACCGTTTTTTATGTCAAATACAGGGTACATTGATGATGGTGATCCGACTTACAAATGTGAATATTGTGGAGCTATAATGTGGTATGGTGAAAGGCTAAACAACAAAAAAAATACCCGTAAACCAAAGTTTTCTCTTTGTTGTGGTCAAGGACAAGTCCAACTTCCTTTGTTAAAGGAGTCACCACCTACATTGCAACGATTACTTTATGGCAATGATGCTAAGAGCAGATATTTTCGAAAGCATATTCGACAGTTAAATATGGTTTTCTCTTTTACATCTCTTGGTGGTAAATGTGACCGTTCAGTTCCAGAAGGATGTGGCCCTTTAAAGATGTTTGTAATTCAAGGAGAGAACTATCATTTAATGGGAAGCTTAAAGCCTCCTCCAGGAGACCCTGCTAAGTTTGGAAAACTATATATAGTAGACACAGAAAACGAAGTTGCCAACCGGTTTTCTATGATTGGGTACTCTGGATTTATCATGCCTGTTGTGAGTCATATTTTGATTTTCGTGGAACATTATAATACTTATATTTATTTGTATTACGCAGGAAGTACAAGAAATCTAAAGAATCCTCTAAAAAGGAGAAAATTCGGATTGAAGTCATTGAGGATTTATTGAAAATGCTATACGAGGTTAACCCCTATGTTCATCAGTTTAGATCTGCCAAAGATAGATTTGACACTAATCCGGAAGAAGCATTCCATATGCGCATTGTTAGCAGTCGTGAAAAAGATGGAAGGACATATGACACTCCTACAACATCTGAGGTTGCAGCATTAATTCCAGGAGATTTCAATCTGGACATGGATAAAAGAGATATTGTATTGCAAGAGAAGCAAACTGGTTGGCTTAAGAGGATTAGTGAGATTCACCCTTCTTATTTGGCACTTCAATACCCTCTCATATTCACTTACGGTGAGGATGGCTTCAGACTTGGGATTAAGAAAAGACAAACAGCAGCTACAGCTAAACTAAAGAGGCAGGATATCAGTATGAGGCAGTGG